GTTGTTGGCACACCGACGCGCCGGGCGAGCTCGGTTCGTCCCCGCAGTGATGGGATCGGGGGCGTCGGTGTCTTTGCATGGTCCGGGGCTTCGGGCTTTGTGCGAGCCAGGCACGTTGTGTGTCCAACCCTATCACCCGAGCCCCAGCCGCCCCGGCCGCCGAGCCGCCGGATCAGCCCGGGGCTGCCTGGAGCTTAGAGACACGCCTGGCGGCGGCGGCTGGGTTTTCTTGCCCAGCAGGCCGCGCGCTTCTTCACCAGAGCCCGTCACTGCAAGAACTGAACTAAAGATGGGGTGCTTTGGAGGAAACCGAGACCGGCAGTCAGCAACAGAATGGGGAGACGAAAGAGCGCCGCGCGGCCGAGCTGAGCGGTGGTGGGGGCTGAACTGGGCAGAGTGGGGCTAAAGGCGGTGCGCGCACGTTACCCCCACTCTGCCCGTTTCGTCCACCACCACCGCTCAGCTCGACCGCTCAGCTCGACCGCTCAGCTCGGCCGTGCCACGCTCCTTCGTTTCTCCCCTTCTGTTGCCGATTGCCGGTCTGGATTTCTTTTAAAGTACCCAATACCGTATTGTTGCGATGAAACGGAGTCTGCAAGTTCCCACGACTCATCGCACGCTGGCGGGGTGCAGTTTTTATTCCATAACCAACCATCCGAGTTTTGCTTTTGAAAAGCATTTTGCAGTACTTGTACGGGATTTTGCAGTAAAATAATTTAATTTGTATTTTGAAAACACTCAATTGCATCAAAAATATTGCAAGCAAATGTGTTTCGAAATGTTCATGGTAAGGTGGTCACAGATTTCTGCCTTAGGCTAGTTCTCCCGCCGTTCGACGTATCCGAACATGACGTTGAGTCAAAACTTGGCTACTGTTCAAGTGCATTACTTTCCCGGGGGACAAATGGCATGAACAAGCTTCATTCCGCGAGTATAGAGACACATCTGGAGTCATCTGAAGTTCAGTGCAGTCGTCACGTCACGACAGTGGCTGCTAACTCCAGCCTTATCCGGGGTGTCAATGCGCCCCCAGGGTGCCAAAGCCCCGACCTGCCGTCGCTGGAGCCTGCCAGGGATTACCCGACGCGCTATTGTGCGGGGGCACGCGCTGTGTGTGTGTGGTTGTTAGGACTTGTGTGTGTGTGTGTGTGCGCGCGAGCCTTCAACGGAAGCTTCCTTTGACACGAAGCGACCGGGGCGATGCGATCACGAAGCCCCGCCTGGCCCTGGGGCGGCGCCCCACCCCACCGTGCGAAAGCCACAGTGGGCAGTGGCGCGGCGGCAGCGATCCTTCCAAGACTTGCCGGTCAATACGGGTGGCGCTCCGCGGGGACCCGGAGCAGAACGGATCGAGGAGGTGGCCGGGCCGCCGTGGCGTAGCCGTGGCGCGTTCCCTGGCCGCGCTGCCGTAGCGCGGGGCGACGCGACGCGCTCGGAGCGGCTCGGCCCGGGTCCCCTCCCCCAGCGAGTCCCCCAGCGAGGCGGGGCGGGCGGCCCCACGGTGGCTCCCCATCCGCTGTGGAGCGATGCCGCGTCGCGCTCGCCTCGCCCTGCACTGCGAGAAAAAGTGTGGATAGTACAACAAAAGTACAACAAAAACTGTACAATAAAAGTACAACAGGGATTGTTTAAAGTACAACGAAAATTGTACAAACCACAACGAGGCCTGGACTGCACAGCACTCGTCATGCCGATTCCATTGTACTTTGTACAACAATTGTTGTACTTAAAAAGTACAATAAATACCTGATAAAAAATTTGCCAGAAATTTGTGTACTTTTGTTGTGGTTATTTCTAGCAGTGTGTCTCCCTCGCACGGCTGCCGCGCGCTCCACGAGTGCGAGAGAGACGGAGTGCGGGTGGTGGAATCGCTCACGGGGTCCTGGCGATGACCCTCCGCGGGGAGCTCTCCGGGATGTTGTCGTTGTATTGCTGGCGATCTGTTTGGGGCGGGGCAGCCGAAGATCTCTGTTCGGGGCGGTTCCGTTTCGGACTGCCTTTATTGGGGGGTGAAGTGCCACCATGGTGAGCCTTGAGGCCCTGCGGTCCACTCCACGACTCCCGGTCGCGTGGCACAGCCCTGTAAGACAACACTCACGCCAGTCCGACGCCACAGTGGGCCAGAAGACCGGTGGAGAATTCTTGAGGCGTTTTGACCCCCAGAGTCGCTCAAAAAGGCTCGAACCGAGTGTGGACCCCAGCAATGGATTCCTCGTTCGGCGAGCAATCCATTGGCGGGGTCACACGTGTCGTTCGGGTCGCGTTTAGCGACTCTGGAGCTCAAAACGCCCCTGGAAGTGTGGCCGACTCCACCGGTCTTCTGGCCCACTGTGCGCCTTCTACCCCTCTCCCTTGCACCTCCCCGCCTTCCCTACCTGTGGAGCGGCCGACCTTATCCGTCACGCGCGTGACGCTCGCTCTCCCGCACGCGCCGAGGGGAGTGGGGAGGGGATGGGGAGGGGGGATGGGCACGGGATGGGGGAATGGGCACGGGATGGGGGAACGGGGAGGGGTGGGGAGGGGGATGGGCACGGGATGGGGGAATGGGGAGGGCGGTGGCTGTGCTGGCCGCGGCAGCGCGGGGCAGCCCAGGGCGGGTACCCACACCGAGGCCCAGGGCCTGGCCAGGGCCTGGCGGTCCCTGGCGTGATTTTCAGCACTTGTTCCTCGCCACCTGAAAGCACGTGGAGCCAACGCCCTGCCCGCCGCGGCGGCGCGCTGCTGGTCCAGAGGGTGGCGCCACCCCCCGCCACCCCCTGCTGCCCCAGCGCGTGAGTTGCCGCCCGTCCGCTGTGCCGCGCCGTGCCGAGCCGTGGCGCCGCGTGGGGCCGCGTGGCAACCCTAGGCCCTGGCGGCTCCGGCGGTGGCTTGCAGCTCTTGCCTGTGGCCGGGCTCAGCAGCGGGCGAGCGTCCCAGTGAGGACCCGTCGTGCGCAGCGAGCAGACGCGCGTGCGCACGCCGTGAGGACCGCCGCCTCGCCTGCCCGCGTCCAGCGCCGACCGCGCCGCGCCCGGCCACACCCAGCGTCGCGCCTCGCCGTCAACCCCGTCCGCGTCGTCCGCGTCCTCGTCGTCGTGCTGCGCACCGAGCGCGGTGTTGGTACCCGAGCTATGCCCTGGGCGGGTGCCCCGGCGGCCTCCACAAGTGGTCGCCCTCCTCGCCCCGCCGCGGCCCCCGGCCCGCGGCCCGCAGCCCGCAAGGGTCGACCGGAGCACAGTGGGCCAGAAGCCGGTGGAGGCGGCCAAAACTCTAGACGCGTTTTGAGCTCCAGAGTCGCTAAATGGGACTCAAACCGAACGTGTGACCCCACCAATGGATTCCTCGTTCGGAGAGCAATCCATCGGTGGGGTCACACGTTCGGTTCGAGTCCCATTTAGCGACTCTGGAGCTCAAAACGCGTCCAGAGTTTTGGCCGCCTCCACCGGCTTCTGGCCCACTGTGCGGAGGCCGCCGGGGTCGCGCGGGAGAGAGTAGTGCCTTTGTTTACACGCCGCGGAGGTATTCGGTCCGCGCGCCAGTCCTGCCCTCCTTCACCTCGACGCGCGGCGTGGGCCGCGGGGCGCGCGCACAAAGATGCCATGTTTACCAACATTGGGGCCCTGCCACGCCGTGGGCGCCTCGATGGCCGGCCCTTTGTAAATTGGGAACAATGAGTGGGAGCGCGGGCGTGTGTGTGAGTGTGTGTGTGTATGTGCGTGCGTGTGTTTGTGCGTGTGTGTGTGTTTTTTTGTGCGTGTGTAAGAGTACATGTGAGTGTGAGAGATGAGAGAAAAAGGAGAGAGAGACAGACAGAGAGAGAGAAAGAGAGAGAGAGAGAGAGAGAGAGAGAGAGAGGAGAGAGAAGAGAGATTATGCGACTGTGGTATGAGTGACTGTCAGCGCGACAGTGTGTGTGTATGTGTTTGTTTGTGTGTGTGCGTGCGTGCACGTGCGAGAAAAGAGTCAGAGATTTTGTATGTGAGTGCGTGAGGCCCGAGCAAAGTTTGAGAAAGCGACCCTTCGCCCTCGGTCGCGTGTTGTTGCTTTGCTTGGACGGCATTACGCGTCGTTGAATGAAACATTTTAATCCCCACGTCGGTGCGGCGCGGTGGTTTCGTCAGTGCCGTTTGATTCTGGGAGAAACGGTCGACGAAGGCCGTCAGCAAGGACGCGCCTTGCTTCGTCACACAGTGGCCGAGGACCGGTGCAGCCGGCCAAAACTCTAGACGCGTTTTGAGCCCCAGAGTCGCTAAACATGACTCAAACCGACGGAGATTAGAACGGCGAGTCCAGTGCTGAAAACGAACCGCCATTTTGTCGGATTCCTCACACGGCATACATATTCGCTTTGCACAGATGGTCCCTTGTTTGTCTGCATCATGCATGCGGGGGCACCGTTGTTTGCGTGGAGGTGCGGCCCTGTGTGTGTGTGTGTGTGTGTGTGTGTGTGTGTGTGTGTGGTGTGTGTGTGTGTGTGTGTGTGTGTGTGTGTGTGGACAAAGAGGTGTTGTGTACGTGTGAGTGAGACGAGCATGTGTGTGGGTTTGTGTGGCAGTACAAGAGGGCGTCTGGGGGAGCGTGGATGCGTCCTGCCCCGCGGTCCAGTCCGACACGCGGGTGTTCCTACGCGCGTCGAACGACTGGGCGGCGGGACGATGATAGCAGTTCCCTCGATTTCCGGAAACACGCCAACGTTCAGTCAATGTCGATACTTTTGCAGAAAATTCGGGAGTAAATGTTACTCCCGGGACAACCACTTGCGCAATCCTGTGTCCACCTTTGCACCTGAAATCCCTTGGAATCCGAGGACGGACAAAATCGTGCGTGAACATTTAGCGTGTAGACAGAGAGCTCACGAAACGCTCGAGGGGCGCGCGGTCTGGGGTTTGGGCACTGGGAGCGGGCAGCCCCGCGTGAGTCCCTCCAGCTCCAGTTTCTCGTCTCAGCTTCGAGTGCGGGCGTCGCGTAGAACGACGTAGACTCGCTGACGCTGACCGAAGCCTCCGACTCCGGGAGACAGCATGACGGGCGCCGGGTCCGGGTCGGGCTCGGGCGCCGGGCAGCCAGACAAGGCCCCCGTCAAGGACGACTCGCAGACCGGCGCGTCCACCGCCAGCGACAACAAGGCCACCACCAGCAACAACAATAACAACAACAAGCGCGTCGTGCTGATGCCGGACAAGGAGGTGAGGCTGACCAGCGAGCTGACCAGCGTGCCCGGCGCGGCGCACTGGGCCAGGAGACCGGACGCGTTTCGAGCTGCAGAGTCGTTATATGGGACCTGAACCCGGCGTGTGACCCCACCAATGGATTGCTCTCCGAACGAGCAATCCATTGGTGGGGTCACACGTCCGGTTCGAGTGCCACTTAGCGACTCTGGAGCTCAAAACGCGTCAAGAGTTTTGTCCGCCTCCACCGTTCCCCTGGTCCACTGTGCGCGGCTTGTTTTATGGCCCGGCTTCTCTAGAAACTCAATCTCGGCGGAACGGCCGACTCGGCGGCTCCTTCTCCCCGTTGTTTGCCACGGGGAATGATTGGGCGAGGGAGGACGCGGCCAACTCCGTTACCGTCCTGTCTTCCTGCAGAGCCTCTGTCTCTATCGCACTCATCGGGTTCCCGTACAGAGGGACAGAGCGACGCTGCCTGGCGCCGCGGCAGTCGCGGCCCTTTACGTTTGTTACAGGAGAGCCTTCTCTGTGTGAGTGAGCGCGTGTAGCATGATCCACTTGACGCTGCGCCCATTAATCATGAACTTTGTTGCGAACGCCTATTGTCTGCGCTGCAAAACATAAGAGGCACGTCGCGCGCACGTGGCGTTTGATCGGTGAGGAGGGTTCAAGGCCCACGGGGTGGCTCGAGGAGGCACCCTCCCCTATCGGCACCAATTGCTGAACCGGCTTACAGTGGGTCAGAGGACCGGCCAAAACACTTGACGCCTTTTGAGCTTCAGAGTCGCTAAATCGAATTGGAATCAAACGTGTGATCCCACCAATGGATTCCTCGTCTGGATAGAAATCGATTGGTGGGATCACGTTTGGTTTGAGTTCCACCGGTCTTCTGGCCCACGGCAATTAACCAAAGAGCCGCTTGTTGGAGAGTGGACTGATGAGCAATCTATGATTTGAGTGTACTAAAATTTAGCAACAACCTCTCTCGGATTTAAAAAGACTGACGACGGTGTTTTGTTGCTGTTTTTCTTGCTTGAGGCCGTCTCGATGGTGGGGGCCGATGCTAGGCGTCGCGGTCCGTTTATTTGTTTATAAACAAGCAGCCCACGGCTCTGTCAGGCCGTTCTTGTCTCAGTAGGGGCCGGCGGACACGGCCAGGCGGACGGGACGCTCGGCGCCTCGCGAAGGCAGGCACCTCTGTTCACTTCATGAAGGGCGGCATGGAGCTGCAGATTGTGGCGGCAGCGGCCGCGGACGACGAGGTGGTGGCCAGCGCGGCCCCGCACGCACATCGCCGCGCCGCAGAGGCACAGGTAGAGACCGCGGCCTCGGATTCCAATTGACTACGTAGAAACTGACCAACTAGAGCACTGAAAAACCAAACGTGGTCTAGACCACACCAACTGGTGTGGTCTAGACCACGTTTGGTTTTGCAGTGAGATTTGGGGAAGAAAGGGTAAGAAAAGAACAACCTTAAGAAGCTGACAACTTGAATTTGAGCCCACCCCCAACCAGTTAGTTCACTTAAAAATATGAATCTGAGTGTGAATTTCCTGTCAAATGCTCGGATTTGGTGCCATACCTTCGGAAGGAAGCACTTTTGGCGAAGTTCCGTAACCCAGGAAGTGTATTCAATTTCCGAATTTTTCATGACCTGATCCGAGTTGAGAATTTCAGCGTTCTTTTGACGGTGCACTCGTCCTATGAATCTCCATCCAATTACTCGCAGCATAATGTGGCAAAGCCAACTTTTGTCCGGGTGCAACTTCGGTAACAACGTCACTGCATCATTATAAACCAGTTCCCGCTGTGGAATTCGTTTTTCAGGTTAAAGTTTCAGGTGAAGCCCTTGTCGTTCCGTAGTTTGGAGTATAGCAGCAGTGCGGCTCTGTGTGCCTACCCGCCAGCTGCGAGAGAGAGAGGCGGGGAGGGGGAAATACGCACCCTGCATGCCGTAGATAATTTTCACGACCAGCTTGACCCAATTGTTGCAAAGACATACGTTGCTGGAAAAGGCTACAACTAAAACCAATCCTAGCATTTATATCATGGATAAATAAATTGTAATTGCAAAGTACAACAATTGTTTACTAAGAAACAATGAGATCAGCATAACAAGTGCACTCCAGTGCGGGCTTACTGTACTTTTTGCAATACTGGTTGTTGCTATTTGCAAACTTACTTTCACCGTTTACGTTGAACCTCTGTTGTGCCATTCACGCTTGCAGCGTATTGCGCGCGTGCACTTGTTGAAACCACTTTGGCAGCTCGGCGACGTTTCCGTGCCAAAGGCCGACTTTGCGGTGCAATTAGGGAACTTGACCTGGGCGTGGCGCTCGGCGTGGCGCTCGGCGTGGCGGCCCACCGAGCCGGGCCCGGCCCGCTGACCTCCGCTCCGGCCTCTGGCGCCTCTGGCCCGGGCCCTCGCCGTGGCGGGCTGCCAGCGCTGCCAGCCATCGCGGGCGGCCCGGCCAGTGTGTCGATGGTCCGCTGTGTCGATCGCCCCGCCCGGCCGCCAGCCCGGCCGCCGCCGGGGACTGCCCGGCGCCGTAGTGCCTGGTAGTGCCCCGATGGGCTCCGCGCCGCGAGGATGAGGCACCCCGGGGGCCTGCAGGGCATGGCCTAGCTCGCGGTCGAGCTCGACCAGCCTCGGGACTTTGGTCTCTTGGCCCACTGAGATATCTGAGCAGGCCAGATATCTGCTCCTTAACTGCTAGTAGCGCCCCGTGATGGGTGTGCGCGGGCCGCGGGCGTCCTCGGCGAGGCGAGGCGGTGGCGGTGCGTCGTCGGCCGACCCGCCCACCGCCGTGGTGGTGGCGGCCACGCCGTCCGGCTCCGTCAAGGTCACGGCCGCCGCGGCCGCAGTCACCAGGACGCCGCCGAAGCTGAGGAGGCTGTCGTCGCTGGTGAGGGACATGACGCGGCCGCCGCGGATTTGACAGCTGGGCTTCGGGACGCCTTCGGAAGCTCTGCTTCGTAGTCTAGACGTGCAGTTGAGGAAAGCTGCGGCGTCCGATCCGTCTGACAGCAGAACCCGCGGGACTCCGAACTGCCCCATGGACGTTAATTGAGATTCTGTGATGGTGCCAGCGGTTCCCTCGACCTGACGATGATGGTGTGGTAGCAAGGCGCCATGGCGTGGAATTTAGCTAAGAGCGGCTTCGGCTTTGGAGAGGCCGAAGCCGCGCCCCTAGTTCTAGTATAAAAGCCCTAAACGGCCTCCTCTGACTTAGCTTAGAACCTTAGCAGTAGCAACAAGATGTAAATCATACCTAGACGTAGTAAATAACAGGAAAAGTAGCGAAATACATCGGCAACTTTGGCCCGTCGTAATAAAAACGTACGAAATTTCACAATGTTTGACCCGACGGAATTAAAACCTGATCTGGGTTAAAATATGTCATTTTCGTCATCAGCACCCTTAAAACATCAGAAACAATGCAAAAACTCGAATAAAAAGCATCAAAAAATACCCCGCTGGGATTGAACCCGGTCCAAATTCTCCGATTCGCTGGAAACTGGCACCATGTTTTTTTCTCGTCGCCCCGATTCCAAAAACCCACTGCCCTCCTAGCTGCATCCGTTGCCGAGATCCTCCCTTTACCCCATGTAGACCATGATGCACCTGCAGCAGCCCCCGGGCTCGGATCGGATTTGCTCCCGGGCGGTTCTTGGTCACCCAAGAGCTGCATACCAATTTGGTCAAGCGGCACGGGAAGTCCTCGGACGAACGGACGGACGGACGACGGACGGCGACGACGGACGGAGCACAGGGATCATACTATATGCCCGTCCCTCCGTCATTTTTTTACAAAAAATGAACGGGACGGGCCCAAAATGGGGAAAGCCGAAAGGCAACCCCAAATAACTGTAGTGTAAAGTGTAATGTAACACTGCCAAAAGACCAATAAATCTCTTCAAAAAGTGAAAAAAATTGTGCACACCCTGTCGCCAGGGCCGCCAACACCACTAGTGCCCACGTTAGCAAGGAGACATGTGCATGCCGGCAAACCCCCGCAGTTTATTGACTCGTGTTTTTAAATGTGAAATTCATTTGATTTGGGACCGAAATTTACAGAAATTCCCCTTTGAGTACGAGGCACAGAGTGACACGCATCTGAATAATCGTCCCTCGTTGCACCTCGCCACCACACCAGAGGCAGCAAATAATTTTCGAGTGCGGCTGCGCGGCGCCACGCGGCCGGCGTGTGCGGTGGCGTGTGCTGTCCGTCTGCGGTTGTCTCTGCGGTGAATCAATATCCTGTCTGCTCACTCCCTGTCTCTCTCGCACCCACCAGGGGACGCCCCATGAGTGCGAGAGGGACTGAGCGAGGACTGCTTGGCCGCAGCCTGTGCTGCCCACGGCTTTCGTGTGTGCGCCGCCAGAGCAAATCCCTTGCGCGAAAGCTGGCGAAAACCTCGCACGTGTTGAAGGGGTCGCAGGGTCGCCCACACGCCAGCCACGCAAAGCAGCGAAGCAGCGCGCTCTGGCGGTCGAGGGCGGCAGCACATAGGGATAGCGCCTCCACTATGAAAGTTTGCGTTGTCCCTTGATGACAATTTCAAGGCTAATTTTCCTTTCAGCAAAGGTATCAAACCATTTGATAATATGGTTGTCACGCCCATGCAAAAGGGCGTGAGCAGCTATGATGAAAATATCATCCACTATTTTGTCGAAAAGTGACTACATGGTTTGGCGCGGTTTGGCGGGAAATCTGTGTCGGGTTCACTGGAAATCCAGGAATTTGCCTCGGCTCGGGCAACATTGGGACTGAGTCCGCGGCGATGATGATCGAACGAACGTCCGAGGGTTCACGTTGAATGGGAAACGTGGCATCCCTGGGTTCCCAGTGTTTGGCCACGCGAAAGCGGCCATAACGGGGAAACTCGATCCTCTTTCTGCTTTCCGTGGAGACCGCTGCGATTGGAGGACGAGCGTACGACACCCGTTCGGCGCCGGTGTGAACTTCCCCACGTGTGCCCTGACAAATTGTTTAAACTTCTTTTCCGATTTTTTT